ATGAGATTCGAAAGTTACTGCCAGCATTTGCATTATCCAAGTTGTCCGACTGACGGCTAAAACCTCTTGAATGTTGTTCAGGATCATGTCCTAAATAACATTTGTCAAGATCAAGGCCATTGGAGATTATTCCTCTTATTCTCATTTTTGTACTAAAAATTCATTTTTACGTAAAAATAAAAATAAGAGGTACAAGCTCCAATGGACCATCACGCGCATGCGTACATGGATAACGCCGGCGGTACTGTAACTTTCAAGCTCCATAAGTCGGAAAGTACTTAACGAAAAGTAACTTTATTATAGTGTTTTGGAAAGCTCTTGAGATAAGCTACAAGAATATGTAATAAAAAATGAGGGTTTTCATTTAAAAAAAACATTAATGACCCTGACCTAATTTTGACAAGGTCACTCAAGGTCAAGTCCAAATTTCCATCATGTGTCCTCCTTCAAGCCATGCAACTTTCGTTCGAAAAATTTTTCAATAAAATCGATTCGCGAGATAATTGACCATATCACTTAAAATGAAACACCCTGTATGTTTAAAAGGTATTTTTAAAAATGTCTTTTACATTTGTTAATGGATTATGCTGACGTAAAAAAAGTTTTCAATTCCTGAATAAATCCAAATATATAATATGTGTGTGCGTGTATATACATATATGCATGCATAAATGTATATGTACACACACATACACACGCACGAGTCAAAATCATTTAGTTAGTCGTCCCCGTAATTATATTAAAAAATTGTACCGAAACAGTTTGTTTAAGAGATTGGGAACTTTCTAAATTCAAATTTGAAGGAACTAGAAGAATAATCGTAAAAATAAATACATCTTGAACAAAAAAAGTTTTGCTTAATATAAATAATACTTGAAAGTTAGGAAATAGAAATATTAAGATATATATTTTGTTGAATTCTTTACATAAACATCATTTCAAAATCTAAATCGTACTTTCAAGCCTTTTACATATTGTACCTATATCAGGTACTATGGACGAAAGAGGACGGTGAATATTTTCAAGAATAATATTTCTGAAAATATATCTTCTAAAATGCCAACGTTTTTTCATTTCAAGCCCATATTAAAATAAGAAAACTATTTGCAATTTTTATATTATACATATGCATATATATTTATATTATATATATATATATATACATACATAATGTGTGTGTATATATATATATATATATATACATACACTTATATATATATATAAGAAACATTTTTTAAAAACGATTTTGTAAGGAAAATCCAAACTTTCACGATATAGATAGTAAAAATTTTCGCAAATTTTTTTGGCACGTGACACCCACAAAGTGGGAAGAAAAATTTTTCTTTTCTTCAATAATTACCACTATATTAATTCGATAGAAACTCCTTATCGTCTCAGAGAAAGACATGGCAATATATACATATCTATAATATATGTATGCTCGCAAAGTGTAAAAGAAACCTCCACATTCTTAACAATATACGAGTTACATTACATATCATTATTGGTTGCACTCAATAACTAATATATCTTTTTCTGATTATGTTACTATACTTTTCATAAATAAAGTAAAAAGCAAACAGATAGAAATAATTAAAATAAAATAATTAATATAACACATCTTCTATTATTTATATTCTTATAAATGCTAGAATTGCACCAACCGAAATTTGTACACACGTATTAACATAATATATTGAATATTTATGTAAATTTTAGATATAAATATACATGTTATCCTAACAAGATACGTAATGTAGACATTAATCAAATTTTTTAATTTTTGTAGAATGCATATGAGGTACTTTATTATAAATAAGGTATCTTACATTATTTATTTCATTATTTTTGTGTCCAAAAATATTTAAAAGAAATCTTAATTCTCTAGATATATATATATATATATATTGTATACTTATATTTGCTGTATCACAAATTCAAATTGTGAAGATTCTTTCTGAACATTTCTCTTTAAATGTAGAATTAATTCTCACGTTTCCCTAAATTTTTTCAAGATGACTAAAACGTTTATTTTTATAGAGATTTTAATTCGAATATAGAATTTCTATATTGCATCAGAAATTTCTTTTTATAGTATGAATTTAAAAAACTGCTACAGCTCATAACATTAACGTTAATTCTTGCATAATATAATTCTTTTAGTCTATGCTTTTCCAACTCTTCAAATAATCTTTATATTAATATGAAAATATGTAAAAGTTTAATAATATTTTCGACTCATAAATAAAATAAAGACTAAACCTTCGTGTTGAACAATACAATATAGAAATCGAAAACAATTCCTTCAACTGCTTAAAATTTCAAAGAATGATCTAAAATATAACATTCTTATATCTGTAAACTAAAAATTAACGATTTAACTTATTAGATTAATGATATAATTCATCATCTTTCGTCATACGGTATAATTCGATAGAAACGGATATTATGATATTGGCAATATTTATATATATAGCTCTACTTATTTTTTTAAAGTTGTAATTTTATTCATTGCTGTATCAAAATTTTATAATCTCATTTCATCATATATTTTTTAATATGTATAATTTAAAAATACACTGTTTATACATATCACAACTTAATGAAAAAAGCGATAGTCTTATGCAATTATTTATATGCATTCTAGATATATTTTCCATAAAATAACATTCTGTAAGATGAAAAATTATCTGATATCGCGCGTCCATGTGGCTGACCACAATAAATAAGCACAATTATGTCTCTTGATACGATTATTTTTCATGTTCAATGTTATAAGCAATTGCATTATTAATTGCATAGAACATAATGTGTCATTATACACACACACACACACACACACACACACGTGTGTGTGTGTGTGTTGGGGATTAGAGAAAGTCTTTTTACAAATTGGAGCATAATTGAAACATATTTTTTTAATTATTTACAAACCTTTTATTAAACCAGATAAGTGCTGTTTTGATCGATGACCTTTTGCTATTTTTCGAGTAGAACTATTATTCCATTGATGTAGAACTTCTGTGACTTCTCGGTAAAAAAGCCAAGATAAATGATTTTCGCAAGCCTCTTCTGAAGTCAAGTTTACTCCATTAAGGGAGTTCTAGAAAGACCGAAACAAATGATAATCGAACGGTGCAAGGTCAGGACTATATGGTGGATGCATCAAAACTTCCCAGCCAAGCTCTCTCAATTTTTGTTGAGTCATCAAAGACGTGTGTGGCCTAGTGTTGTCAAGATGGAAGACAGCGCCTTTTCTATTGATCAATTCTGGAAATCGCTTTTCCTGAATGGATTGTTCCAATCACATTAGTTATTGACAGTAGAGATCAATCGTTCTGCCTGTCGGCAGTAATTCATAATGGATCCGACTCCTTTCCAGTCCTACCAGACACACAGCATCACCTTCTTTGGCATCAATTTGGGCTTTGCGATTGTTGTTTGTGGTACCTCATCTCGTTTCGATCACAATCTTTTATTATCACGATCGAACATTATTATCATACGTTATCCACTTTCATCGCCCGTTATCAATCTTTTCAGAAAAGGACCCGTTTCGTTTCAGCAGTGATTCGTAAATGGAAATTCGATCCATTGAATTTTTTACCGTCAAATCATATGGCACCCAAACATCGAGCTTCTTTGTGTATCCAGCCTTACGCAAGTGTCCCAAAACGGTTTTATGATCAATGTTTAGCTCCTTGGCTATGTCATAACTGCTCACATGACGATTTTTTTCAATTTTTTGGAAGATTTCATCGACATTTTTCACAATAGGCCGACCAGAACGATGTGCATTTTTTTTTTTTTTTTTGACATCGAAATTTTTTGATCTCGAAATCGGCGAAACCAATTCGCTTCTGTTTGTCTAGTTAGAGCATCCTCTCCATAAACATGACAAATTTTTTCTGTGGTTTGTGCAGCGTTATTCTCTTTTTTATAATAAAGAAGTAAAATATATTGGAAATGTTGATTTTAAGTTTATTGATTGGCTATAGGATAGAGAGATCCGACATCGCTTCTCTTTCCTGCAGCCAAATAGGCTTTGAAATGCTTCGTCGAATGTAATATCAGCCTAATACGTCAAATAATAATGACACGTAAAAAATCGACTAGATCTCCATCTGTCCATTATATGTAAAAAGACTTTTTCCCTAGCCCAATATATTATATGTACCTATATATACAGGGTGTCCCAGAATGGCTGCTAAATATTTCGTGCGTAGGTAGACCGGATTAAACTGAGTCGAAAAGTCCTCTACCATTTTGCAATTTTCACAATAGTTAACAAGATAGTAATAACTAAAAATCGCTGAATATTCATTTTTAATAATTTTTTACTCGAGTACTATCAACTTTACAGAAAAACAGCAAGAGACAAAAAAAATGTTGTTTATTTTCTTCTTATAGAGCTCTAAGAATTTTTTCTATGAATGTATTTTATCCAATACCACAATATAATGTATTAAGGATTTCGCGATTTAATTCATTTCTATATTTTTATTAAACGTACATCTTTATGTCGATTTGTGTAAAACAGCTTTAAATTGCACTGAGTGCGTACCAGCTCTGCCAGTAAAAAATGCTATCAGTTTAGTCTACTCTACCTGCGTACAAAATATTTGGCGCATTTGATTATTCTGGGACACCCCGTATACATATATACATATATACATATATATACATATATACGCACGCATGTATCATTATGATCAGATAAAGTGTAAAAATACATCTTTGATAATAATAAATGTATCTGGTTCATATAAAACAAATACATAATATGTAATTTTGCTGCTAGCACAAAAATATGGAGATTTCTCGCGAATTGCTTACGCGCAGACACAGACACAGACACACACACACACACACACACACACACACACACGCACGCACGCACACGCACGCACGCACACACGCACGCACGCACGCACGCGCGTGCGCGCACACCCATATGCACACAAATACATACGCACATTAAATATTAATTAAATATTACACAAAATCATCAGCTATATTTACATTAGGAAGTAGAATACCGAATACAAACAAAATGACGCAATAACAAATAGATCTAAACAAAGGCTGTCAATAATAATTAGGAATATCGCTTCCTCGATCAGTGATAAGAATAAACTGTTGATCGCAGGATAATGTCAAATGAACCTGTTGAAAGATTTAAGATAATACCTTTCGCTTCTCACTGTCATTTGTTTTAGAATAAGAATATTAAGCTTTGTCGATAGAAGTATCTTTCATAATGTCATCTTTAGTGATATTTTGGTTCATTTGGTCGTTTTCATACTCTACAAAGTCATCAAATAAGCTTGGCCACGCTTCTGCATCATCATAAGCACCTAGATCGTCTCCGATGCTCTCGGCAAAGTTTAGAAACATATTCCAAGTGTCCCTAGGTATTCCCCGGATATGATGACATTCTAGAAAGTTTAGCCATCGCGTTAAGAGCGGAGGTTCACGTATCGTAAAGACGAGTCTCCAAAGATCGATTGCCATATCAACTGGTAAGATTCTTTGACCAGATGTCACATCGAGGCCAAATCGGAATGTGAATCGATAGAGATCCTTGAACAAATCACTATTGATCGTTAATTCTTGAACGATCTCAGGCAATCGTGCCTGTATACCACGTATACTGTCGACCTTCATCGTTTTTAATCCCGTGACAAACTCCTGGCGCGTGAATTGGCACATTTGCTCTGCATTTAACTTCCATGCAAGCACAAGTACTTTAAATTCATCGGGTGATAATTGTAAATCATTACAGAGTCTTTCTATACCATCAGCTAGTATTACATCTTCATGAGGATCCTTAAAAGCAAACATGTGAAATGTATTAATCATAGTATTTGTATAATTCTTTATAATCTTAAATTATTAAATGCGTTTTTGTGTGCTATAATACATGGCCTCCCAATGTTTTTTCTTTTTACATAGAAGTATCTTTTATGTCGTACCTTGTATTGGTCAAAAAGGGCGTTTAGTTTGCTCTCTGATGGTTCCCTTTGCTGCCTAGTTTCGGTACTTAAATTAAGACCCGATGATGTATTGGATCGTCCTAATGGCTGTAATCGCGCATAGAACCCTCGCGATAAACGCAGATTACTTTGTACATTAGGTACAGATCCGCAATTATCCGAACCTACATTATTAAACGTCGGTAGCATACTTGTGGATTTTCTGTTCCCATTTGCATGTGTTTCAGGCACAAAAGAACTGGATTGTTGGCAAGAATTTGGAAACAAACCTCTGAGTTCCATGGTATCTACGAAAGGTAATAAAAAAAAATTGTGAATTTTTTTTTATGTAGCGTGAAAGGAGCAGAACTAAATAAGTGATTAGCAATTAAGTAATTTTTTACATGTATACTTTGTGTTATAAAAAGAATCTAAAAATGTAATACATAAAAGAAGAAAAAATTGATTGTATCTACCGTCTTTGTGCTCCAATACAATCGTGTGATCAGTACTGGTCGATGGTGGAAGTGGCACCTTGAAGCACGAAAAACAGTTTCCCATTGATGCTGACCGTACTTGACATCAAAGATAATTATGCCATGCATCAGTAATTCAGTCTTACATTGGCAGTCTTGATGGAAAGCTGAAAAATAATATCTTTGTCACTTATGGCCTACATTAAATGTAATATTTCTGTTTGTCTCCATTAAGTACAAACATTGGAGCCTCAAGATTTATGGTGCTTTCAGCAAGAGACAGCGATCATTTGGTTTAACATTGGCACAGAACAATGATTCTGTCTCTTGCTGGAAAGCAAGCCATCGATATATGGATAATATTTAAAGACTCGTTACAATGCCAAGGACAGAAAGAGAATAATGCCCGTATTCATAGTCAGACCTTATACTTGAGGCTTCCTTAAATTTATCTTTAGATGCTCAGTAGCCAATGAAATAATTCGTAGAGCATCTGAAGATAAATTTAAGGAAGCCTTAAATATAAGGTCTGATTATGAATACGGGCCTAAGAATATCAAATTATTATACCAACTACAAGAGACAAAAATTGCCTCGTGGTTAGCTCTTGTGCAATCATCGAGATACCTTGTCAATATCAAAATAGATAGGTACTTGAAAAGTTTACAGAAAAACAAACAAGGATTTGCAACGTTGACAAGTTCTGCAAGCTCCACTTGCACGAATAAGATTGACAATCTAGAAGAGGTAGAGGAAAGAAAGACAAAAATAGATAGATGACTAGGCGATACCTTATTGTTACATATCCGTTATGGTTCCTCGATCCTCGCTTGAGACTTGTCGCGAGACAATACGTCGTGTCGATCGTATTCATAGATCTTTCGAGTAGTGAAGAAAGTAGAATGCACCCAGCATCGGTGTCGTGCGCCTTTCCTAAAATACGTTGTCCTAGCGACGGATCAACGACGAAAGACCGTCGCGTTACTCCTCATGTCCCCTATTTTTTACAGAGCATTTTTCCTAATCGAAGAGACGAGTGTCCAGCGGAATGGAATTCCGCAACCTGGTAGCGGAGCCTGCGTCATTTGCAACGATGTCGTAACCCGGTGAGACTGTGCGACAACGGCGATCTCATTCCAAGCGTGCGAGACGCTCATCCACGATCGTGATCGAGCTGGCAATCACAGCCAACAGCAGTCAACGTAATTTCGACACAGACCGATATGACGCTGCGATGTATTCACTCACGCTTATCCACGCTTCACCATCGAGCTTCAAGCAACGTCTCGATGGTCTCGAGTGAAAACACCGCGTCCACGATCCACTGGCATCCAATTGACCGCGACCAAGACGAAAACTCTCAACTCAGACCCTAAGATCCACTAAGATCCGATGACTGATCCGATCCCGCTGGGCCCTGATGCCCTGATCAACTGTGATCAACCTCGTCAACCTGCATCAACCAACGAAAACGTTCCTCGTGCCTCAGGGTGTCCAAAGGAAAAAAAAAATCCTTTGATTCGCGCAGCTAGAACTATTCGTTTCGTACGTGTTGCGCTGCATTGCTGCATCGCACACAGTGTCGCCATAGAAATATGGTGCGTTCGGGGATACGCTAATAGCGCTATTCTGCCATTCTATCTTCGTTGTTTATTAAATGTAAAACAAGGATAGAATGACAGAAATAGCGATAATAGCGTCTCCCTGAACGCACCTATAATAGTAGGTTTGTTCGCGTCGCAAGCTCCAACGTGCTCCAACATACTCCTACTATAGTTCCTACTCACTCTAGCAAGCGCGTTGGAATGAGTAAGAGCCATAGTAGAAGCATATCGGAACACGTTGGAGCATGCGACGCAACAAACCTAGTAATAGCGTTTTCGATTGAGGAAAAAGTTAAGGCCATCACACGTACAAAAATTTTAGTCGTAATCGTAAGCAGACCGTAAGCAAATCGGCCAATCACAGTCGAGCGTTTTTAAACGCGAAATCGTAATTTTGATTGTGATTGGTCGATTGACTTGCGACCTTGCGATTACGACTAAAATGTTTGTACGTGCGATGGCCTTTAGTGCGCACCAGGGCGCGCTTATTAGGTCTGATGCCGAGTGCCAAAAGTGCAAGCAACGCGAACAGACCTTTTATAGGTGCTCATGCACAATTTTCATTATGACGGTCGTTTGCGTCAGATCATAGATGTCGACACACAGAGTGAGGGTGCCGTCACATGTACACGGAATCGGAACGACGGAACGGATTTCTTACTAGAAAATTTGAGATCACTACAATTCCGTTCCGTAAGAAGTTTCTCTATCCGTCCCATGTAGCCGGAACGGAATGAAAATGGACGGAATGTCGCCTCGGTTGTCGCAAGTTAATTTGCCTAATTTAATCGATATTTCGTTATTATAATGCGACTAAAGCAGTAATATGCATAATTTGTGCAATTATCTTATTTATAACATTACTTTGAATACTTAAAAATACTGAATTATAAGAGTGAGATATATTATGTTACCAAAATTCCATTGCGTTCCGGCTACATGGGACGGGTAGAGAAACTTCTTACGGAACGGAATGGTATGTTCACCTCAGATGGTTGAATGTGAAATTAAAACAAATATTCAGAAACCTTTTTTTTGGAGATTACAACGATGGACGAAGAAGTAGTGTTAACTGTAATGTTAAAATTATTGCGAAATGCAAGAAATATGCCAAGTTGGCGTGCTATTCTGATATTTAAGAGAGTACGAAAATTATATTTCGCTTATAATATTTTATTACAAAATAAAAAATATACAAGAAAACGAAAATTTTGGGTACGGCCAATGTTTACACAAAGAATGAGACATCTTCAAGGCGCAAGTGACAATTTAGTCGTTGAAATGCAAACGACCGATCGTGAGAAGTTCTTCAATTACTTTAGAGTGACTCCGGAATTATTTGAAGAACTGCTGTCATTAGTTGGACCACTTATTGAGAAGCAAGAATTATGCCGAGTTCCAATTTCATCTCGTACAAGATTGCAACTGGTTTTACGCTGGTTGGCATCTGGTGATAGTATGGCATCTCTTTCATATGCATTTCGTATTGGAGCAAATACAGCTTCTAAAATCATAATCGATGTAACATTCCGTTGATTCCGTTGTACCGTTCCGGCCATAGATCCGATGGTTCCGATACAGCAGAGAAACTTCTTACCGAACAAAATAGTGAACTTATTTCTAGCAAGAAATCCGTTCCGTCATTCCGATTCCGTGTACATGTGACGGCACCCTGAAACTACTGTTCTTATGGCGCGATCCCATGGCGGGGAACGTATACGCAACGCAGAACGATGTCCTTCCAATCGCAAGCATTCCGTCAATCGCGCTCCGTCGGTATGTCTTTTTTAAACCAAATCACGAGCGTTCCGCCAATTTCGCATCATGGGACCGCACCATTATCTATACTGTGACGGAATATTGCTAGAAAAGAGATATCCTGATCTCTGTCTCTTTTCTTTAATATTCCGTTCTGATTCCGTTCCGCTGTTTCTTTCTCCATGGGAACGCAGCTTGAGGGTGGATGGCCCTGCGCACAATAGAAGGAATAAGGAATTAGGAATAAAGAATAAACGATTTTAATCTATCAGAAATCCACTACATCGGAATACACGGTTTCTGATAGGTTGAAATCGTTTATTCTTTATTCCTAATTTCTTATTCCTTCTATCGTGCGCAGGGCCGTCTTCGCGCGAATCAACGATTTGTTTTTCTTACATTGGTGAGACTGGCGCGATAACAAAATAAACATGGCAGATTCGAATCGCCGAAACGCATGATCGTCAGTCGCAAAAATCAGCAAAGATATGATTGTGAGAAAGGTGTTGTCACGATATCATAGGTCTGCTTTTTGTGGCTGAACTAGTGTATGTACGTACATTTTTGAAAACTAAAGCGAGATAGGTATATGTTTGATGTTTGTCGAAAGCAAGAAAGAAAGTTCCAGTGCAGTCTATACGAGTCTAGTGCAGATCGGTGCAAACTGCAGAAACAGAAAACCAGAAAACAGAACATATGAATCTCTGAAGAATCACGTGGCGAGGACATCACTTTTGTTATTTCCGTTGTTTCGATAGTTGACGATCACTGTACTTTTTCAACGCAGTTGTTATCAGCATCTGTTATCAAGCGCCTTTCTGGTATGTAAATGGATTGAACGTCATGTAGCGAAACGAAATTATATAATAAATATTTGCCAGATTGACTGTAAATGACGGTGGATCGATCAAGAGCTGATATCTTGATCAATTCGTTTGATCAATTTGTTCGGAATATGAACTTTTGTAATACTTGTTTAATTGAGATTTATAAAAATTATAATTAAAAACGAACGAGCAATATGTAATATTTATGTTTTACTTCGTTCCTTTTCGGACATATTGCGTTATATCGTGTAATTGCTTTTTGCACAGATTTCTCGAACTTTTATGTATCTCGCGCGCTCATATACACAAACTGAACAATTTTGTAAATTTTCATCTCTATAAAAATACATTATATCACTGGGACGGTAAACAAAATTTACGTTCTCAATGCCTAAATTCTAAGCAGAATCGTAAGGCTCGTAACATATTCCTGTAAGACTTGTAAGAATTTTTAAGTACTTATACCTTTATATAATATTTTTACTGACAGCTTCTTACTAACCATAAAATTTACAAAAAATCATAGATATTTACGAATAATCGTACGTCTTACGATACATACGCATAAAATTAAAATACTAGTCATGAGTTCTTACGAGAATACATTAAGAGTCTTAGATTCTGTTTAGAATTGACTCAACATAATCTGTAATCATAATTTATCTCTTACGTCAGGTTCTATTTGGCACTTGATAATCTTGGTAACCTTGGTAACAAATTCTTTCATTGTTATATCATTTGTATTCTGGTTTGTACCTGTTTCAAATTGTATAAGCAAATAATACAAAAAGCTATATTTTATGCAATAATATTAAATATTCCTTTTTGTCTTTTTACAATTTATATATTTTTTTACATTACAAATAATAATTTGTATGTTCAACCTGTAAAAAGAACTATATTTATGTATTATGTTACACATCATATTGAAAAGTGTATAGTATACATGTTATATTTTATCTTAATATTAGATTTGATTGGCAAATATACACGATGCCAAAATTACCACGTATCACTAGATCTTTGCGGATGTTTACTTCTCTGGAGCACAGAGGAGAAACATTGGACTGCGAACCAAACGACTTACTGAAAAAAAGGCAGGAACGAACAAAAAGATTAAAAAGGTAGATGGATATATTGGGTTGAAAAGAATATAGAATTTTTTATGTATCTTGTGAGTTTATATGATTTTTGTATAATATTTGCTAGAAATATTAGATACGATATGCAATATTAAATATTCTTTTGCAATGTGTATACACATCCATTTATTCATACATGTACTTCTTGATGTAACATTATATATTTACATATTCTAGCAATCTTGAGTGGCATGACATATATAAAAGTGCATCTAAAAATCTTATGACACATCTGTTAGCATTGAGAAACATTGTGCAACAAATTCTAGGTATGTAGTAAATAGTAATTTAATTTGATAAATGAATCATTTGATACTTTATTATTCTATTAGATAACATATTTCTTTAAAAATTTCTGTTGTATTAAAAACAATTTATAATTTGATTCAAATATTAAATTTTTTTTATTTTCAGCAAATGATTCCTCAGATGTTATTAATGAATTCACGGTTTATGCATTACGTTTATTAATTGAAGAGAAAAGCTTATCGAAAGAAAAATATAATTTACTTGGCAAAAAATCAGGATATATAACGTTTCAGAGTGCACAAGTTATGATGCAGGTATGATATGACGTGCAATTTTAATGTAGGATACAATGTATGCTTTTGACTATTTTTTTTTATTGCAATTCTATATAGGTAGTCAATGAAATTCAGATAGAATGTCATGAAGAAGCTATGAAATTGTTATCAGAATCAAATGCAAACACTGCAGATTTACAGATTTTTGGAACAGATATTCCCTACAATCCAGCTAGAGTCGTATGGCCCGATACTATTAAACTTCACAATATGTCTACAGAGAAGACAAATTCAAATACTGATAAATTTACAATGATGATACACGAAACGAAACCTTCAACACAGAAGAAATCTATAGTGAGTATCTGTTTAATGTTTGGACAAAAAATTAATTTTTTAGTCCTTTTTCATCTTTTTCTCTGTTTGTAGTTTGATAAAA